TGGGGTGACAGGCACGTGTTGGGAGTCCCCCACCACCCACAACATCCCCCTCTGGGCTAGTAGCCAGGCTGTTTGAGAGATGCCCCCCGCACACACACAGCACCCTCTCTGGGCTAGTGGCCAGGGTGCCTCAATTCCAATTCCAGTACTGCCAGTTCCTAGCTGTGGGCATGTGGGTGTGTCACTAGTCTCCTCGTGACTCAGTTTTCCTATACGTGAAACAGGGTTGTTACAAATGCCTGATTCCTCAGGGCTCCGCAAAGCAGGGATCTTGGTTTGGTTTGCTGCAGTGTCTCCAGTGCTAGCCCAGGTAATGTTTGCAGAGTGCATGTAGGGCACGCCCTTGGCAGCTGCCCCACGCAAGGTCACTCAGAGCATTGGGGACTCCAGGAGACTCAGGGCTGAGACGTGCTCTGTTCATGGGCGGGGCTGGCCTTGATTATATTTCCTTCTGCACACATACATCAGGGCTCCATTACTCCTTGGCTGTGCCACCTTGGGCAAACTCCTCAACCTCTGTGCCTGTGGTATGTGCGTATCAATAGATGCTACTTCCCAAGGCTGTTGAGAAGATTAAATGTGCAAAAAGCTCATGATAGGGCCAGCCAGGACAAGCCCACAAAGCCTCCTTGCATGAATGAATGGTCTCTTATCACAAACATCTCCCCACGTCTGTAACTATGTCTGCACACAGAGCAATGTCTGATTTTCAGAGCACGTTGAGGATAAATCAGCACGCGCTAATGCCCATGGCTCTCCGTCTGCATGAGTTCTGTGAATATCCTGTGTCCTCTTCTGCATTCCCCCTCCAGGCTGTTCCTGCCCTGTCCAGGAATTTTAAAAATCTCCCTTTGTTTCTCTTGTAGTCATTTGCTGGAATAAAATCTGTTCTTTAAAGTCTTTCATTATGAAAATAACATGTGCATGTTGTTTGGAGACAGGCAAGGAGCCCAGGATCCCAGGCCCGGATCCGACCAGTCTACTGTTTCTTTTTTTTTTGGTGGTGGAGGGGAGGAGGTAATTAGGTTTGTTTGTTTGTTTGTTTGTTTGTTTGTTTATTTATTTAATTTATTTTAACGGAGGTTCTGGGGATGGAACCCAGGACCTCGTGCCCGCTAAGAGCACGCACTCTACTTCTGAGCTGTACCCTTCCCCCAACCACTGTGTTTCTTGTGTTTTGTTTTGAAAACTGTTTACAATTATCCACTTGTGGGCTTCGAGTGCCCCAGGCCTCCTGAGTTCACTCTTACCTAGTACGTTCACCCTCTGGCCCTTGGTGGTGCTCTCTTACAGATAAAACCAGCATTTTAATTTAATTTTTTTTATTGAACTATAGTGGATTTACTATGTGCTGATCTTTGGTATATAGCAAAGTGATTCAGTTATACGTATATTTCCATTACAGGCCATTACAAGGTGCTAAATACAGTTCCCTGTGCTGCAGCAGGACCTTGTTGATCTATTTTATGAACAGCAGTCAGTAGCTGCAAATCCCAAACTCCCAATTTATCCCTCCCACCCTTTTTCCCCCAGGTAACCATAAGTCTGTTTTGTATGTCTGTGAGTCTGTTTCTGTTTTGTAGATAAGTTCATTTGTGTAATTTTTTTAGATTTCACATATAAGTGGTATCATATGGTGTTTTTCTTTCCCTTTTTAGCTTACTTCAATTAGTATGATAATCTCCAGGTACACCCATGCTGCTGCAAATGGCATAATTTCATTCTTTTTTATGGCTGAGTAGTATTCCATTGTATATTTACACCACATCTTCTTTATCCAGTCATCTGTTGGCAGCATATTTACTTTAGCATCTTCACTTAGTATTTATGGAGGAGATGCAGCAATGGGGGACACTCTACTGTCTTCATGACTTTTTCTGTAAATCCAAAGCTGTTGTAAAAACTGAAGTCTATTAGAAGTACACTAACGTAGTGTTCACCTCTCAGAATTTTGAGAAAAATCCAAAACTTCAGTAAAAAGCAAAGTGCTAGTGAGGCGTGGCAAGTGTACACTGATGGTGTAAATTGGAACACACCCACGGGAACCATTTGGCAACTGTGCAAAATTACAAATGAATGTGCCCTCTGGCACAGTGATGTCACTTATAAAGATCCACTCCACAGATCTGTTCCTTGTGTGCCTCAGGGGCTGCGCACAAAGGTCATTCCTTCCAGTGTTGCAGGTCAGTTGGGCCAGGCTTTGTGACAAACATCAGGGCACGTCTATGCGGTGGCATGCATGGCAGCTAAGGGCAGGGAGGGACTGTGTGCCATAGGACAGACGGCCAAGAGTGCTGTTAAGTTCGAAAGCCAAGATGCACAGGTCACCGTTAGTTATACCCAAATAAAACAACGGATGTAAAAGAACAGATGTTCAAATGTGCTTATCTTGGCATAGAATTTCCTCAGAAAAATACCTAAGAACCTACTGACATTGGTTGTCCCTGATTAAAGGAACTGAGTGCTGGGGAGATGGGAATAAGGGAGCCATTTCATTGAAGAAAACTTTGTTATCTTTAAATTTAAAAAAACCCTAAATCTTTGCTTTTTGAATGGGTAATATTTCACATGGTATTCCAAGCTCTCCTTTCTTGAGCTGGTATCTGCAGGTGCTAATGTAACCTTGCAGAAGCATTTGATGCATAAGCAAGTAGGCATCCCATTTTAAACAAAATTTAAAAAACAGAAATGGGAGCGTATCTTGCATATTGCCTTTTTTCCACTTAGTATATTCTGGAGATTGGTCCCCATCTGTACATACTCATGTTCTTAAAATTCGGTGTGATAGCAGACACACAGAAAAGAGACGTGTAGAACGTATTTTTATACTTCCATCCTGGACCCCTTGCTGGCTAGAGAGAACCTGTAGCCCGAGCTTTATGGAAACAATCTCTTGCTTTTACAGCTTTACGGCCTCAGTAGGTATGTCTAGCAGCACAACTTGGTTTTGACTGTTTTTTGTGCTAAGGTCTCTTGTGACTTGTTGGGCTGACGGGGAGATACTCTGTGAGGCTGCAGGTAGAGGTGGTTCATGACTGGTGTGGTACAGTGTCGCTCCTTGAATGTGCAAGGACGTTTGGACTGTCTGCATTTGGGACAGGTGTGCTTGCTACCTGTGGTACAGGTGCGAGAATGCTGAGTAATGAGATGGTCATGCTTTGGGCCTCACTGCCCAGTCTCCTTGTGCCTTTTACCGCTTCCCGTTCCTGCCAGGATCGTACCCTGGTCCTGGAGAGGCCTCACAGCTCTGTAGCCCGGGCCACACTCGGTATTGGACGTTATCACTGTGGCAAGTTTCGTGGGAGCGCAGTGCTATCAACTACGGGTTTCACTGCCTTTCCCCGCCCCGGGTACTAATAACGAGGGGGCTCTCTGAGTGTGCTGAGTAGTCACTGGGAAGGGACTTTTGTGAAGTGTTTGTGCAAGTGCTTTGGGCAACCTTTGTGTTTTCTTTCATTTGTAGGAGCTCTTTAGATATTGTTTGGATTTGTCCTTTCCAGTTGTATGTCTTGCAGCTGTCTTCTGTCCCTCACTGACTTGTCTTGCATTCTACTTTAAACAGAAGTTCTTGATTAAAAAATTGCTGGGGGGGTCATTAGTTTTTTGAGGGGGAGTACTGGGGATTGAACCCAGGACCTCGTGCATGTTAGGTATGCACTCTACCACTGAGCTATACCTTGCCCCCTAAAAAAATTTCTTAGATATATTTTACACAAAATACATCTAAGTACATAGTTTAAGTTCTGATAATTAACTATGCACTCATGTGACCACCACCACAAGATCTGGGATATGCTTGTCACCCCAAAAGCCTCCCCTACTCCCCCGTACTTTACCCTCCCTGACCCCAGCCAGCCAATGATCTGCTTTTGGCCATTAGTGATTAGTTTTGCCTGTTTGATTAATTTCATATACATGGAACCAAGTATTTTGTATATGGCTTCACTTAATGTGTTTTGTGTATCAGTTTTGCTTAGTATTTCATGGTGTAAATTCACAATTCCTTTACTCATTTATCTGCTGGGCATTTGGGTTATTTCCAGTTTTTGCCTATTACAAAGGAAGCAACTACGAAAATCCACATACCAGAGTGGACAGGGCTTCCTTTGTATTTTGTTCATGATCATTTTTGATACTGTGTCCTTGGGGCCCAACAGTTTTGTTGGCTTCCCTGTGTATGCCTTCAGTGGTTTCTGCCAAGACCCACAGCTCCCCACTCTTCCACCAGCTGAGAACTCTGACACCTGTCCCTACTTTGCGGCCCTTACCCCTGACCCTCCACTATAGTTCAAGAGATACAGTGACAGCCATTCTGCCCTCCTGAAGATGAAGAGGTCAAAGAAGGGCCAAGCCCCAGGTTCCACCCTCACCCCTGAAGTGCTGGGATATGGTCCTGCAATCAACTCACCAGCCATCACTTGGGGTAAGAGCTCCAACAGCTTCCAGGAGCTTATAGCCCCCAGGCCCTAAACACCCAACCACGAGAAGAGGGCCCTAGAAAGGAACACGCCTGGCGGGTTCAACTTCAGTTCTAAGGCCTGAGCAGTGACCAGCTCACCTCACCCAGGTTTGCAACCAACACAAATTCTAAGACAGGTATTGCCTGAAGCCTGGAATTGAGACTTCTTACACAGAAATACAACGGAACAGGTTGTGCTGGTCAGAGGGGAAACCAATTTTGAGGTGAGCTAGCTCAGGCGCCCCAGTGCAGGATGGACACCTCACACCGGTCGCCAGCCTGAGCGGGGCCATGACTCCCCCACTGCACCCTCAGACCCCAACAGGAGGCCTGGTGGGTGGGGGAACCTGCGCACGTGCTTAGGGGCCAGGGCACCCACTGTGCGAAGCCAGCAGAGGCATAGCAGCTGCTTTTCCAACTTTATTTAGAAAAACAAATCCAGGTCCCAGGCCCCCGTGCCCTCCCCAACCCCAGCCATAATTTAAATAACTTAGAGACAGAGTCGGGGGTCAGGTGGGGGGCGGGGGAGGTGGAGAGCCCACTACAGCCGCCGCAGTGCCCGCTTCTTGTCCGTCTTTTTCTTGGCCGCCAGCTTCTTG